AGTCAGAGCCCACTGGACTGTACCCGACAGCAACCGTGTTGCTACAATCCTATCACAGGTTACCTGCCTATTTTCTGAGCGTACAGTTGCCTTTCCCGAAAGCAAGCAAGGGATTAATATTAAAAAAAATACACGAGGGTGTAAGGTGTTCACATAAAGGTGAAATAGCAACACTTTTTGAATACAGTAAGGCAGCTCTGAAAAGGTGACTGAAATTCATATTCCCAAATGGTCCATGATTTCTAATTTCTCTGCCACCCTTTAGGTCACACTCAGAGAAGTGCTTAGACAGAGGTTTCAAAGGCGAATGCTGTCCTCAAGGTCAGAGGTCCTTCCTAAACTGACCTCAGTGCCTCTCCAACCTCCCTCTCCCCGCTTCTTCCCCTTGCTCCTTCCTCCTCAGCCTACTGGCCACCGTCATGGTCCCTCATACCTGCCCAGCCTCCTCTCACCTCAGGGGCTGGGCACTAGCTGCTACCTTTGCAAGTTGTATCTAGAAACCCTTGCCCTCTCACCTCCCCCCCCCTCTCAGGTGTCTTCCCAGAGACCTCCTCTCTGACCGTGGTAAGTGACATCCCCCTTCCCTCACCGCGCACTCTGTCCCACCTCCTGTCCTCTGCTTTACCTTCATTATAGCCCATGGGGTATAATTTACATTGGTCTCCCACCTGTACCTGTCCACCCGCCCCCACCCCTACTCCCACCCTGCCCCTAAACTTAATCATAAACAACCCCACTGCCATCGTGCCAACGCTGCCTCACGGTGACCCCATGTAGGGCCCCTGAGATTGTAATGCTTTATGGGAGCGGGCAGACTCATCTTTCAAACTCCACCGGTAAAAAGGGTCTTTAGGAAACTGTTTTTTGCTCTTGCTCCAGGGTGTAGCAATGATGCTGAGCACATAATGGACACTCAGTTGCCCCCGGATGAGTGAGTGCAGGGCCACGGGCGGCTCTGACGTCTGTAGTAAGTTGGCCCCAGACATGCTGGGTCCTCCTTCCCAGGGGTAGACAGCCGCTGCCGGTGTGACCAGGGACCCAGGAGCCCCTGAGGACTCAGCTCTGTGCTGCGACTTTGTAAACATGCCACTGACCAAGGTCGCCCCCCCAACCGCCCGATCCAACATCCCAGATCCCCAACCATCATTCACACCAGAATGGCCTAACGTACCCAACTAGTGGTGGGCGGTCCCATCACGATGGCATAATGCGGTACAGACTTCCCACTCCCACCAGGCCGAGGCCTCCGGGCCTGGGCGCTGCTCCCCACCCCTCACACGCCCAGACCCTGGCCTCTGCTCCGCCTCAATCCCTCACAGCCCTGCACCACAACGGGCCTCCCTCTGGCCCCCAAGAACCTTCCAAGCACACTCTGGCTAATGAATCAAGGGCACAGCCCTGGGAGCCCCCTCCTTTTCTCCAGGGACGCCAAACGGGAAGGGAAAGTGACCAAGGGCCTCGGTATGAACCTCCCTGGAGAGAGGCCAGCGCAATGGCCCCTTGGGGAGAACACGGTGCTGCCACCTGACTTTGGAGACCCCAGGATCATCTCCTGCCCCCACAGGCCACAGCCGGGCAGCCCCGTGGCCTGCCCATGCCCATCGTCAGGGCCCAGGGGCCCATCGGTGTGTTCAGGGCTGCCAGTCCGATCCAGGATGACATGTGTTTCCATTGCGGGAGTAACAGATGCATTAATTAAACATCTATCAGCAGCCCACTCCCACCGGCGTCTCTCATCTCGTCCATCTTGCTCAGTGTGGAG